TTACTGAGACATGGTCTGTGTCAAGACTGGCAAAGCCTCGGAGAGGAGAGACTGCAGGCAACCTCCATTCAGGTCTGACACATAGTTTGACCGAGTCTAATGAAGCAGCGTGCCCAGGAGCACAGAGAGGAATGGTAGGCTTGGGACTGACAGAATGAGCCGTTCTTCCAGGATAAAAGGATGGGGCAGCCCGGCCCGTGCAGCTCAGTGGTTGAGCATCAACCTATGAACCAGGAGGTCACGGTTTGATTCCTGGTCAGGGCACCTGCCCAGGTTGCAGGTTCCATCCCCAGTGAGGGGTGTGCAGGAGGCAGCCGATCAATAATTCTCTCTCAGCATTGAAGTTTCTCTCTCTCTCTCCCTCTCCTTTCCTCTCTGAAATCAATAAAACTATATTTTAAAAAAGATAAGTAAAAGGGTGGGGCAAAGGTGAGATGGGGCGAGAGAAGCATCCCATCATGTGGGAAACACAGCTATATTCCAGAACCCTAGGGAGCCTTGTAAGTTTTCTGGAATGAGTGTTGGGAGACGAGGTTATAAAAACATGGCAGCTCTACCAGGAAGGGCCGAGGGGCAGCTATCTGGGAGCAGGGACGGGGCGGGAGGCCTCGACACTGTGCTTTTGCATAGCAACCTCGGGTCTTTTTGTGCAGGGTTGAGTTGAGGTGACGTGGGGAAGAGATGGACTGGTGGTGGTCCTGGGCGGCTATGGGAAAGGTGGGAATTGGGCACCTTCAGCTAGAGAAACGGAGATGAGGAGCGGGGATTTGAGAGACTGCAGAGATGAACAGGCAGAATTTGGTGAGAAGGGAAGGGAGAAGAGAGTGGAGGGGCAACGATGACTCCGAGGCTTCCGATGTGAGCAAGTGGGCAAGTGGAGAAGCAGAAACAGCTTTGTTGGCTGAGGTGGAGGCGGGATGAGACCCTGTTCCGTACACAGTGAGCATAAGGGATGTCCAGGTAATGACATCCACAGGTCCACATGCTCTAGCATTAAGTCACTTCCTGTCTGGGATTTGGCTCAAGATAATCTGAGAACAGTGGGTAGGCTATAGGTGAGACAAAATCGGCTATGAGTAGATCACCAGCATGGGTGAGAAAGCAAAATTAGCTCAGAAGAGGAACAAACAGGCTGACATTCATGGGGCTGGGAGGACAGACATAGGTACAAAGTTACCATGAAACAATATTCTCCCCCAGGGCAGCTGCAGCTAACGTGTCAGAACCACCCCCTTCCCTGCGTGACTACTGCTTCCTGACTCACGAGAAATTCTGTTCTCTAACGTGACAGACCATCAGAAACTTGGCTGTTTGAAATTTTATCAGTGAAGATGAAACACCCCTCTGCCGCCAGGAGGATCTAAGTCACGTTGACACAGAGACGGGGTCTTGATTTGCAACCCGGGGTCAGAGCCCCAGGCAGGGGCGTCTGAACACAACATTCCACGTGTAGTAACTTAGCACTTTCGAAGGAGGTGACCCGGGTCTGCTGCGCAGGTCAGCCCGATGTTGACTCCTGCTGTGTTCTGAGGCCAGGAAAACACTGCTGTTTAAATTTTACCTACACTCCGACCTTCCCCCAAATCCTGTAACTTGCTCTTTGCCTGTTTGGTGAGATACCCCCCTCCCCCCACACAGTCCCTTTGTGTGTGGTCTCCTTTGTTGAGATGAGTTAATAAGTCTGATTTCGTCAGACTGCAGGTTTGTTCCTCCGGTCTTAGGCTGTCTGGGCCAGGACATGGGTAATGGGGATACAGGAGGTCTCTGTACTATTCCCTCAGCTATTGCAAATGATTCATTTTCCATGACATTTCCAAGTTTTACAGAAGTCCTCGCCCCACGACAATAGCACCACGAATGTCAGTGTTTGAGATCTGTGGAAGGCAGAACAATGGCCCCCCCAAAGACATCCACCTCCTAATTCCTGGTGCCCGTGGATGTTCCTTACTAGCAAAAGGGACTTTGCAGGTGTACGAAGGCTAAAGACCTTGAGGAGTATCGTGGATTATCCAGGTGAGTTCCGTGTCATCACACGGACCCTTAAAAGCAGAGAACCTTTCCTGGCTGTGGTCAGAGAGATGCGACCGTGGAAGAGTCAGAGGTGCAACGTTGCTGGCTTTGAAGATGGAGGGAGGGGTCGCGAGCCAAGGCATGTGGGCAGTCTTCTGGAGATGGAAACGGTAAGGAAGCATTCCCCTCCGCAACCTCCAGAAAGGAACGCAGCCGTGCTGATAAGTGGATTTTAGCCCAGTGAGAACCAGTGAGGTGCTGACCTACGGAACTGCGAGGTGATCAGTCTGTGCTGCGTTAAGCCACGTTGTTGGCCATTTGATACAGCAGCAGCAGATGAAGTCAAGATCGCCCAGAGGAGTGAGGAAAAAATGAGTCAAGGGTGCCTGGGGGCCACCGATATTCGGAGAATGAGTCAGCCAGGGAGACAGAAAGGGACACCAAGCAGCCAGACAGCTGGAGACCAACAAGGAGCGAGCTGCAAGGAGGAGAGAGTGGTCCAGAGATTTAAACCTCCTCCTCTTTAAAGGGAGGGCTGAAGGAGTGAAACGGGCTTTGAAATTTAAAGCACATGTTATTTCTTGCTTCCTTTTCCCTGTGAGTCTAGTATTTTCATGACAGCCTCTCCCACCTGAAACAATCACTTTCCCCCTTCATGTTGAAAGCCTAAGAGGTTGAGAACTTTCACAACCTCAGTCCATGTTATAAACCCATCAAGGTAACAGTCTGGTTCCAGAATGGCAGGTTTCAGCACATAGTAAGCCAGAAAGAGACTGACTATTCTCATATGTTAATTCAAGTTATTTGACTCTGGAGGACCGCCCCCAAGCTGGCCTGACAGTGTAGTCCTGGTCGCCGTTTCAACACTCCTCCCACACTCAACACTCACGGTCCCAAACGACTGCTCCTCACGAAAATATTTACTCTCTTCCCAGACCATCTCAACTACCGGTTTGGAAAATGGCAAATCATTTCACCCAGGTGAGGCTGTTGATGGCTTGGACTATCTTGAGAGAACATTTATGTTCACAAATGGAAATAAACGCTGGATTTGTGTATTTTCAGGCTTGAAGACTAAGTGAAGAATGTGGAGAGGAGGATGTTCTTACTAAACTCACGAACCTCATCCGGTTCTGGCTGTCTGGGCCGAACGTCTCATTCTCACAGGAAGACTCAGGCCCGTGACTTCTTCTCTGCCTGAAGACTCTACCCCATTCATTCTTCAGAATTCGGCACCGTCGTCAGGGGGCTGTCCCAGGTTCCGCTGGCCCCTCCTGTTACAGGCCCCTGTACACCTGTGTTTTTCCTTGTGAAGCACTCACCACACCTGCAATTATTTGTTCAGTGTCTGTCACCTTCTCCATTAGGTGACAAGTTCTGTGAGGTGAAGACAAGGTCTCCCCCTGTGGTGTCCACTGCTCTCTCCTTGGTCTCTAGCACATGAGATACCCAAAACTGTTGATGATTGAATAAATGAATGAAGGCTGAGGGCTCTTCCTCTGGGTTTACAGGTGATGTCTACATTATTGGTTCCTAGAAGCATAACTAGGAATTAAACATTAAATCCAAGGATCCTTAAAGCTAAAGGACCAAAACCAATTAATGAGCTTCCAAAACACACCTAACATCCTGTATTAATTCCTGGTCTTATCCAAAGCCTGAAGCAGAAAACAAACACAAGAACAAGTGGGACAGACTTCTGACAGTGCCAAGACAACTCCATGGGAGAAAGATTAATCTTCCTAAAAATGGTGTTGGGACCACCAGACTTGCACATGCAGAAGAATGGACTTGAATTCCTTCCTTACACCAAACACAAAAATTAATACACTACAACGTGGATCAACTTTGAAAATGAAAGAAGCCGGTCACAAAAGGCCCCTATTACATGATTCCATTGATATGAAATGTCACGAACAGGTACATCTACTGGGACAAAAGGAAGATTGGTGGTTGCCCGGGGCAGGACTGGGCTGACTGGGCATGGGAGATGGGGAGTGACTAATTGTCATGACACTTCTTTTGGGGCTGATGAAACACTTTGGAATTGATTGTGGTGATGGTTGCACAACCCTATGACTACACTAAAAACCACTGACCATTCACTTTAAATGGGTGCCTTATATATGGTATGGGAATTATATCTCAATAAAGCTGTTAACATTTTTAAGTTGAATTAAGAAATGCTGTGTTGCTTTTTCAACACATCCCATTTGTTAGAACCCGCCCCCACAGCATTTCCCAAGCATGAAGGAGAACGGGTTTCTGACTCCGGGACGGTCCGAGTCCCGACGCTCTCGTTTCCTGCGTGTGTGCCTGCACGGCTGTCAGGGGCTTGGGGCAGGAAAGCTGCCCTCGGTGACTCAGGGGCCTGCAGGCTTCCTGCAATGGATCACTTCGATTTTATCGCGCCACGTACTTTTCTCTCTCAACAACAGCTTGTCCTTGAAGCTGGAAGTGCAACGTAGAACATTTTCTTTCTTTCCAGCATGGACGGATCCCTCCATCAGGGTCACCTGGAGTTCACGGGGTAAGGTGTCTGGAGCAGGCCACGATGCCAGGGTGACCAAACCCTCAATATCAGGTGCTGAGCTTTTGGGCTCCTGGTTTATTCTCTCCCGCCTCCCTCTTTTTCTTTTGTCATATTCTTCAACTCCAGGACAAAGGTCTGAATCTCCACCCCATTCTCCACACCGAGTGCTGGATGGGAAGAGAGAAGGGGGCCTCCTGGAGTTCGGGCTCCACTTCCTGGCTCTGGGGCCTCACACCTGAGGCCCCACCCATTCCTGAGCCACTTACTTCCCTTCTTCATGTCCATGGCAGGGCCTGGTTAGAGTCCTGGGAGCAATTCCTACCCTGGCATGTCTGGTTGGTGAGGATTCAAGAAAAAAAGCTAAGACCTTTCCCAGGTGAAAATGGCTAGTTTGGAGGGGAGTTCAGAGCAGGCACCAATAGACACACGCTGAAATAAATGAACAACGGGATTAGCAAAATAAACAAAACTTAAATAAACTTTATTTAGAAGACTTTGAGATACAAAAGAAGACCATGGCATAATCTTAGGTAACAGACACCACAGTGGAGTGTCAGAGCCCTAGAGCAAAAGGCCATGGGGGTGGGGATGGAAAGGTGGTTGGCTTCGTGTTTTTCTAGCTTCAGAAAGTCCTAGAAGCCCCGATCACAGCCACAACATCCTAGTATTGGTTACAAAGTATCTACGAAGGTGTTTACCTGTGGGAAAGAGGAAGCCCAAAGTTCAATTTCACATTTTCAGCACACTATCCAATAGTCCATCCACAGGAGGACGTGGCTAAGCCCGTGAGCTTCTGTGAAGAAGGGAAGACAGGCACGGAGAGGAAATGTGACTTGCCCAAGGCCACAAGGTATCGAGTGGCAGAGCCGGGAACAGAATTGAGAAGTCTCAGTTCCCTAGTTCTACAACACCCTAGAGGAGGAAGTTAGCTGGGAAGCATGTATTACAAGTCAATTATTTAACAATTAGCAGCCCAAAATACTTTAGAAAATCAGGATTATATTGGTAACTTGTATAAGGCTCCACAGACTTTGGAATGTGCAATGCAATTTGAGGCATAAAGCACAAGACCCATTATATTAAAGTCTGAAGTAGAGAGAAAAGTGCAATAAAGGGACCTGGCTGGTGTGACTCAGTGGTTGAGCATCGACCCATGCACCAAAGGTCACTGGTTCCATTCCCAGTCCGAGCACATGCCCTGGTTGCGGGCTCGATCCCCAGTAGGGGCATGCATGAGGCAGTCAACCAATGATGTCTCTCTCTCATTGATGTTTCTATCTCTCTATCCCTCTCCCTCTCTCTCTAAAAATCAATAAACATA